TCGAAAGGTATTCTCCATTAGTATCTATGACTCCTTCCCATCTTCTGCGCAAATCCCGGATCCCATCCTCGAAGAACTTGGGAGTTTTTGAGGCGAAGTAGTCATTCACTGCTTTTATGACCTGAACACGATCATCGAACTTTTCTCCCTCCAAAAAGTGCTTCACCGACCGAAACAAAAAGTAATCTGAAGGAGCCAGATCAGGTGAATAAGACGCGTGGGGCAAAACTTTCCAGCCAAGTTCCTCGATTTTCTTATAAGTGATCTTTGCAGTGTGAGGTTTTGCGTTGTCGTGTAAAAATCTGACTCTCTCCGGTTTGAGCCCCAATTTCTTCAGAGACTCGTTAACTCTCATTAATTGCTTCGAATAAAGATCAGCATCGACGGTTTGGCCAGGTTTCAGCACTTCATAATGTACCAATCCCTTGAAGTTCCACCAGCAACAGAGCATTATCTTCTTCCCATGGACTCGGTTTGGGAGTGGTTTGAGGGGTCTGCCCAGCAGATAGCCATCGATTTTTGCGTTTAACGTTCTCGTAGTTGATCCACGTTTCGTCAGAAGTCAAAACCCTGTGAAAAAAGTCGTTTGATTTGTATTTTTGTAGCAAAATTGAGGCGGCATTTTGTTGCTCTGGGTCAGCTCGTGAGGAGCCCATTTTCCAACTCGATTCTTTTCCCAAGTTTGTGTAAATAGTTTTTGATTGTCATATGGGATACTTCAAATATTTCTGCCAACTCACGAACGGTGAGTGTTGGGCAATCTTCAATTAAGGCGAGCAAGTCATCGTCGACCACTTCTGGAGGATGTCCTTGGTGTGGCTCGTCTACGAGGCTTTCATCGCCGCCTTGGAATCTTTGAAACCATCGTTGACATTGCCGAACGTGTATACTTTCCTCCCCAAAAACAGTGATGATCGTGCGATGAGATTCAGCTGGTGATTTTCCTTGTTTAAAATCGTAGAACAATCGTAGAACAATGCGGAATTTTTTGTCCTCCTTTTTTTGCCAAAAAGCAAATGATGAAATTTGGAGCACTAAATGTTATTTATGTAGACATCTTTTACTTTGTATATATGCAAAAAAGAGGGAAGAAACGGCGCTTGAAATTACAAAAAACATGTTAAGTAGTGACGCGTCATTATTAAGTTGCCAACCTAATAAATGAGATATTTATATTATAACTATAACTCATTAGATATTTAAATATATCTAATGAGACTCTTTTTCTAAGAAATGCGTTTTGAAAAAAGCTACCAGGTCTTGTTGTATTTGTGAATAAATAACAAAATTTTTTTGAAAGCTTTGAAAAAAATTCAAGTTTCAAATTTACTCTAACAAAGGTTTTTAAAATTGATTACAGTTCGTTTCGCGTGCTGATTTGACTTGATAAGCTTTGGATATTAGGCTGTCTAGAAAGTCTTTTCGTTCCTTTTCGTACTTTGGTTTAAAACCAACAAATGCATCAATTGAACTACGGTTTCTTTCACCAGAAAAGCCAATTATTTTTCTGCAAAATAACATTAAAAAGGGTTTTTAAATGTCTTATGTCTGAATTTTTTTGGAAGCGTGAAGTCGGATAGTCAAAAAGTCAGCTCGATGATGCGGTGTAGACACTTTAGCGCTAAGGAAACCTATCTTCGTGTCAATAGATAAAAGATAGAGCACAAAAAGTTAGATTTCGGGTACTTTACACGTCTATCAGTTTCATACAACGATTCATCAACCAAATTTTAACATTTACCTTTTTCCCTCTTTTTTTTTTAAGACTTTTATCACTTTTTTGTTTTTGATAACAATTCTGAATGTATTGATGATCGTTTTCTTTAGTGCAATTCAATGTAACTTGGTTAATTACTTGATTTGACCTGATAAACTTTGGATATTGATTTGACTTGAGTTTATCAAGTCAAAGAGCAGGCAGGCTTAGAGCAGGTTAGAGTAGGCTTTTTGAACTTGGTCAATTACTTGATTTGACTTGATAAACTTTGGATATTAGGCTGTCTAGAAAGTCTTTTCGTTCTTTTTCGGACTTTCGTTTAAAACCAACAAATGCACTAATTGAACTACGGTTTATTTCACCAGAAAGTCCACTTATTTTTCTCCAAAATAACATTAAAAAAGGTTTAAAATGTCTTATGTCTGATTTTTCTTGGAAACGTGAAGTCAAGAGTCAAAAAGTCGACTCGATGATGCGGTTTAGACAAACTTTAGCTAAGAAAACCTATCTTCGTGTCAATAGATAAAAGATAGAGCACAAAAAGTTTAGTATATAGCTAAATTTTCAGAGAAATTCATTCAGCCAATTTCTTTGTAGAGGTTTTTATAGATTTTTACCGAAAAACACGTTTTCACTGTCGAATTTGCTTGAAAGTGAACCAAAATTGACTTAAAAAGATGGGAAAATTGAACAATAAACACTTTTTCTTGAGAGAAAATCATAGATTTATTGGTGATTCTGTGATTTTTTCAAATCGACTTATTGAATTGGTGGGTATTGGCACGACTTGGCACGTTTTTCGAAATAAAGTTTTTCTTCAATTAACAACGTCAAATCTTGAGATATTTGCCATTATTTTGTGTGATTTGTGCCCATTTTACTGGTAGAAGTTGAATGCCTCTATTGTAGAAAATCTTCGTTTTTGACGCAAACAGATGAGCCATTTTTTGACCTCTTCTTTCGCATCAAAGTGTTTGTTCGTTTGTTTGTTCGATTGCTCATCACCCCGAAAAAGTAGTAATCAAAAGGTGCAAGATCAGGGCTGTATGTTGGACGTGGGCAATCACCAAAATCGATGGTTCCAAGAGAGTTTAGTGTAGAACGAGTCATCTTCGAAACATGCTGAGCATTATCATGTTGAAGAATGATTTTACTCTTTGGAGTCTTTTCTCTGGCAAAGATTTGGCTGACTTGTCAAGTTGCTCCGAGTATTTGAGAGTGTTGTCTTGCTATCTTTGAGAGTGTTGTCTTGCTATCTTTGAGAGTGTTGTCTTGCTATCTTTGAGAGTGTTGTCTTGCTATCTTTGAGAGTGTTGTCTTGCTAAAAGTTCCCAGTAGATAGGCTCTTCCAAATCTCAGAGCACCGAGAGCCTAAACTTCTTCTCATGCACATTCACTTACCTATTTTCCACAAACTCTTCTCCCTCATTTTTGTTTACATCTCTGAGATTTAATTTGAAAAAAACGTGCCAATTCATACCCATCAACCCAATAAAAAGATGGAAAATTAAACAATAAACAGTTTTTATTTAAAACAAATAATAGGTTAATTGGTGAATTTGTTGGTTTTAAACGGAAGTACGAAAAAGAAACGAAAAGATTTTCTCGGCAGCTTAATAGAAAGTCTTTTTGACAGCTTTTTGATACAGCTTTTTGAAAAGCCGTTAAAAATCTTGAGTTTCAACTCAAATTGGATTTAATGGAACGTTTCAACTTTCAATTTCAATGTGTGTAAGGGTAAATGAGTTCTTTTGCACCCCCTATTCAATCGAATGTCTTTGAATTTGCTAGTAGTTGACAAATTGCATATTTTTTCAAGTTTAAATGGCCAAAATGACCTTATAAATCCCATTTCTAGTTTCCATTTCAATTTCCAGACTACCATTTCTAACCTTGATCCAAATTTTTCTGATTTTGATTTCTGAACTTAGCATAAACTTCTTCTCATGCACATTCACTTGCATATTTTCCACAAACTCTTCTCTCTCATGTTTGTTTGTATCTCTGCGATTTAATATGAAAAAAACGTGCCAATTCATACCCATCAACCCAATAAAAAGAAGGAAAATAAAACAATAAAACAATAAAACGATTAAACAATAAAACAATAAAACAATTAAACAATAAAACAATAAAACAATTAAACAATAAAACAATAAAACAATTAAACAATTAAACAATTAAACAATTAAACAATAAAATAATAATAATACTTTATTCAAACGATAAAGTGAAAGAAATCATAGAGAAATGCAATAGAGAAAACAATAAAACAATTAAACAATAAAACAATAAAACAATTAAACAATAAAACAATAAAACAATAAAGCAATAAAGCAATAAAACAATAAAGCAATAAAGCAATAAAACAATAAAGCAATAAAGCAATAAAACAATAAAACAATTAAACAATTAAACAATAAAACAATTAAACAATTAAACAATAAAACAAATGAACAATAAAACAATTAAACAATAAAACAATTAAACAAATGAACAATTAAACAATTAAACAATTAAACAATAAAACAGTTTTTATTTAAAACAAATCATAGGTTAATTGATGCATTTGTTGGTTTTAAACGGAAGTATGAAAAGAAACGAAAAGATTTTCTCGGCATCTTAATAGAAAGTCTTTTTGACACAGCTTTTTGAAAAGCCGTTAAAAATCTTGAGTTTCAACTCAAAGATTTGGGTCAGAAAGTCAGAAAGACTTTCTGAACAGCCTAACATTATCAATTTAGCGTATTTGATTTCACTAGAAGAAAGAAAACCACCAACACAATCATTCGAAACTTGAAACAAAGCAAAAGAATTTACCGTCGATCCCTTTTTCGACGCTCGTTTGAACGCCGTCTCTCCACAAGGAGAGCTCAACTATTTTTTTTTGTTTTCAAAAGAAAACCATAAACGCCCCCGCCAAAAATTGAAATGATCTCATTTCAAAATCCATTTATTCGGTCAGGTTCAAATAAAGTTTTTTTCCGATTTGAAAAGCGAGATTTGAAAAGATTTGATTTGAAAAGCGAACTGAAGTTCGCCCGGTTCAAATTTTAATATCCCAGCTTCAAAAAAAACCGAAAAAATGGCTGAAAATGGAAAATTTGGGAGTCAGAAAAAATTTCAGGCAAATAAAAAAAACTGTTGACGTTTTCCATTGTGAATAGAATTCCATTGTGAATAGAATTTTGCGGATATTCGAAAATTTGGTAAATTTTCGAACACATATAAAAGAGGAAATTTCCGGGAGTGGAACGGGGTGAAAAACTCAGCCGAAATATTAATGAAAAATTCTGCACTGGTTGCCGTTTTTCTGTTTTCCGGTGGGTTACTGTCATTTTCTGCTTAAAATTTAAAACTTTTCTAATTCTAAAGTGCTTGTGTGCGGTACGGTAGTCTCTTGTCTTTAATTTTTATCTAATCTAATCACTTTTTATATCTTTCGATATCTTTTTTTAAACTTTAATAGAATCAGGCAAAAAAAAGTGAATGCCGTATTCTCTCTAATAGTAGTGAGCGTCGCCTAAATTCCTTGAAATCTCGAGAACAGCTTATCAGAACCTATTGATGTGGGGTCGGAAAATGTAGCTGACGATGAGATCTAGTGGGGGATTTAAGCGTTGAGCTTCTGTGAAAACTTTGGAAGCCGTAAAATAGTCACCAACTCGGCTCGCCGGAGTGCACTACTATTAGAGAGAATGTGGTATTTGAAGCAAAATGTTAGCTTTCAATATATAGATACTTTATTCAAGACCTGAAAGCTATTATTTTTCTTTATATATGTTGTGTCCGATTTAGATTCAATCTAAATCGGACGCCCGATTTAGATTGAACTTATCGCGGACGTCCGATTTAGATTACAGTCTATATCGGACGTCCGATTTAGATTCAATCTAAATCTTATATGGATTGAACAATAATATAAACATGCTTAATATATGTTCTTAAGCGTTTTCTGTAGTTTTCTGCATTTTTCAAAGGTCTTTTATTGATTACAGTCTATATCGGACGTCCGATACAGACCGAACAATAATAAACGTGCTTCACATATGTTCTTTGAAAATTTCTTTGAAAAGCGCAGAAAATTGCAAAAAAACGCTTAAGAACATATATTAAGCACGTTTATTATTGTTCGATCTGTATCGGACGTCCGATATAGACTGTAATCTAAATCGGACGTCCGCGATAAGTTCAATCTAAAATCGGACGTCCGATTTAGATTGAATCTAAATCGGACGGAAATCTAAATCGGACACAACATATATATACCGTATTTTCTCTAAAAGTAGTGCACCCAGAGGGTCGCCTAAATTCCTTGAAATCTCAAAAACCGCTTATCAGAACCTATTGGTGTGGGGTCGGAAAATGTAGTTGACGATCAGATCTTGTGGAGGATTAGTGTTGAGCTTCTGCAAAAGCTTGGAAGCTGTAAAATAGTCACCAACTCGGCTCACCGGGGTGCACTACTATTAGAGAGAATACGGTTGATTGGATAAAAAAGAGACAATTAGAGGTGATGGGAAAGAGATAATACTGAAAAATTTGAAACTAGACTTTCGAATTTTCGAAGATTGAAATGAAAATGAAAACAAACAATGCATTTTCTCAAATAATTCATTTTCTAAAACATTTTTTTCTGTTTGCCGTAATCTTGTCTCTATCTTTATCCAATCTATTTTTTGCATTAATAACAAGCATTTCCAGGTTTCGTTCAATGGGCAATGGCTGATTGCCCGGCTTGCCCAACGGGAGGTTCGTTTGATTTACTTTAGTTTTAACTATATAAAAAAGAGCCATGCTTCAGCGTTGCTTTTTATCCGATAGATTCTTAAATCTCAAAGAAAAAGTGAAGCTCTAAGTTTCAGGAACTTATTTTAGATCACTTTTTCACAGCTGTTTAAAATTGAATCTTTTAGGAGTTTGGAGTGCTTGGAATCGGACGACAACATGCACGGCGACTTGTGGAATGAACGGGCAGTTGTTGCAAAGGAGAACCTGTCTCTCGTACAGTTGGGGATGCCCGTGCACGTGAGTTTGTTCAAAGTTGAGATTCACAAAAATGATGTTTCAACTTTTGGATGACAAAACGGAAAACAAGCTAGTGAATACTTTTTCTACATTTTGTTGTTGATTGTATTCCACTCCTTCGAAGCCTCAACTTTTAATTTTATTACAACATTCTGAACCTACTAAAGTCTAATATCGAACATCAAAATTAGGTCTATTCCAACTCTGTCAGCCAGCCCAGGTCAGAAAGCAGGTCCAGGCTTAGCTTCATGGCAGATTTGTTGAAGAAAAATGAGAATACAGACAAAATAGTGAGATAATAAGTGATACAAAAAATGTTGTTTCAAAATAAAGCGCTTCCCACGAATCACCCGGGATTTAGTTACCTTCACACTGGTTGATTGGTGGTTTATTATTACGTTGGTGAATAAGTTTTTCCATTCCTTTTCATACTTCCGTTGAAAAATAACAAATTCACCAATTAATCTATGGTTTTCTCTCAAGAAAAAGTGTTTATTGTTCAATTTCCATCGATTTAAGTCAATTTCGGTTCACTTTCAAGCAAATTGAAATGGTAAAAATCGGTAAAAATCTATAAAAACCTCTACAAAGAAATTGGCCGAATGAATTTCGCTGAAAATTTCGCTATATACTAAACTTTTTGTGCTCTATCTTTTACTTATTGACACGAAGATAGGTTTCCTTAACGCTAAAGTGTCTAGCATCATCGATGTCGTCACTCTTTTTGATTACCCGTCTTTACGTTTCCAAAAAAATTCAGACATAAGACATTTTAAACCTTTTTCAATGTGATTTTGCAGAAAGATAATTGGACTTTCTAATGAAAGAAACAATTCAATTGGTGTATTTTTTTGGCTTTAAACGAAAGTACGAACGAAAAGACTTTCTGGACAGCCTAACATCCAAAGTTTATCAAGTCAAATCAAGTAATTGACCAAGTTCAAAAAGTCTGCTCTATCTTTTATCTATTGACACAAAGATAGGTTTTCTTTGTCTTTGCTTTTTTGGACTTTTCTTTGCTAAATTTTGTCTAAACCGTATCATCGAGTTGACTTTTTGGACTCCTGACTTTACGCTTCCAAAAAAAGTCCAGAAATCGGAGATTTTAAACCCGTTTTAATGTGATTTTGCAGAAAAATAATTGGCTTTTCTGGTGAAATAAACCGTAGTTCAATTGATGCATTTGTTGGTTTTAAACGGAAATATGAAAAAGAACGAAAAGACTTTCTAGACAGCCTAATATCTAAAGCTTATCAAGTCAAATTAGTGCCTTATTACATCAAGTAATTGGTCCAAGAAACCATGCTTTAATTCGAGTAAATTTGAAACTTAAACTTTTCTTTTCAAACTTCGAAAAATTTTGTTTATTTATTATTTAAAAAGCTCTCAAAAATAAAAAAAAGGATTTGGTAGCTAAACCAGAAAAACTTACAAAGCTAGAATCAATTTTTCTAGCGGTCCCTACTCCCGAGCGTACACATGTCCAAATAATCCCTGTGGTGTCGCCCCACAATGTGCCAATCCCTACACCGTCCAGAGCAGCAACAACAAATGTGGCCCGATTCCCGCCGATCCCACTCCGTCCAATGTGACTTGTTGTGAGTGATTTTGAAAGTCATCTCCGTGTTATCACTTATTTTGAAATCAAAATCAAATCCAAAATCATATCCAAAATCCATTTCATTCATTTTTTTTTGTTTAGCTGAGACGGCCGATATCTGCTGGTGTCCTCCATCAGGTAAAACATTGTTGACAATAAAGTTTTTAAACTTGCAGCACTTAAATACTTTTAAACTTTCAAAGTATTTAAGTGCTGTCTTTTTAAATTAATGTTTAATAGTCAAAATTGATTGATTTAATTGATTAAATCGTGATAAACAAAGCATTTCAACATTTAAATTTACTAAAGTTTCAAATTTACTGAAGTATGTACAAACGCGAGAGTTTAACAATCCTTTGTAAGCTTAAAAGCTCAAGTATAAATATAAATCAGATTTTGATCTTATTAGGTACCCAATTTTCCAATAATCCTCTGAATTCTCTACAACTTTCTGATATTTATATTAAGAATACTTCAGATTTTCCTCACTACGGTTTACTAGACTCAAAAACTTGTAGAAAACTTTATCTTTACTGGATATCTTTTAATGTTTTGATAGTTATTCTCGATTTTCATGGTAACATTCATTTTGGAAAATAAAAAACTTGTGTTTCAAAGTAATTAATATGTAAAGATAATATGTAAAGATAAGATTTAATAGGAATTCCTTTTGAATTTTTAAAACATACAATATTTTTTCTAATTCCTAAAAATAAGCTTCTTGCATTGAACAATTGCTTAGCTTTGGATTTGACTTGCCAAAGCCAATGTTAAGCTTGTTATTTGAGCACAACAGATTCTTTTGCTGAGAATGGCTGAGATTCGAACCCGTGACCTTTCGTTTTTCGGGCAAACTATTTACCAATCAGCTAAACCTATCCCAAATCCCGTCATAGTAATGTAAAAGCAATAGCCGTTTCTCTAGAGAAATATATTTCTCAAAGTGCTCGAGATTAATCGAAAATCTAAAGCTTTAGTCACAAAGGCAAAATTAGCTTTACCGATTTAGTTAATTTAGTTAGATTTAGTTAGATTTAAAGATGTTTTAGTCAAAAGTTCTACATCAAATCCTAGATTAAATTCTTTATAAATATCAAAGTTTCAAAGAAATTGAGATTAAAGTTGTCAACTCTTTATTAATTAAATATACCGTAAATACTGTAATAGTACCCCACCGCCATAATGACGGTGCGGAGTGTTGCGTAGTCTAGCTTTGGACGAGTTTTTCTCGACACTAGTTTATGCTACAATGCGCGCGTAGGTATCAAAAAATAGCTGAAATTCAGGGCTATTTTTTTGATACCAAAGACGCATTTTTTGAAAGTATGGATGCTTTGCAAAAAATGAAATACTAAAAAACTTTTGCGACTACGCGACTGTACGAGAGGGGTGGGGTACTTACGTACTTACGTACTATTAGAGTATTTACGGTATGTTTCAAATTTATGAGCTTAAAGTCTGCTAGGGTAAATTTATTAACTCTAACGATAGATTTCGTTCGATGGTTACAAAATGTTGAAGCAAATATTTTCTTATTTTTATAAAGCTTAAAATTTGCAAAATATTTTTATGATTTCTTGTTTTTTAGGCGTTTGGAGTGCGTGGGTGAACAATGGAACGTGTTCGGCGACGTGTGGAATTTGCGGGACGATTCCACAATATCGCACTTGTCTCTCCGAAGATTGGGGCTGCAATTGCACGTGGGTTTTTGAAATTTAAAATATTGCAGAGTTCAAAACAATTTGGCTCGCTGGGGCACTAAAATAAAAGCATTCGTACTCGTTGCCCTAGAACTTGTCGCCTTAGAACTTGTTGCCTTAGTACTTGTTGCCTTAGTCTTGTTGCCTTAGAACTTGTTGCCTTAGTACTTGTTGCCTTAGTGCTCGTTGCCTTAGTGCTCGTTGCCTTAGTGCTCGTTGCCTTAGTACTCGTTGCCTTAGTACTTGTTGCCGTCGGGACCATCCAAATTAAACCTTCCTTTACAAAATTCTTTTTTTCTAAATGGAAAATCTAAAGAGAACCCAAAATTTTGCAAATTTTTAGCTCAGCCTTAGCTTTAGCGTCCAGCCATTCACGAGAAACAGCCGTGACTCAGCATTGAGTCCCGTGGTCTAAACGGGTAGCCAAGCGTGACTCAGCATTGATTCCCGTGGTCTAAACGGGTAGCCAAGCGTGACTCAGCATTGAGTCCCGTGGTCTAAACGGGTAGCCAAGCGTGACTCAGCATTGAGTCCCGTGGTCTAAACGGGTAGCCAAGCGTGACTCAGCATTGAGTCCCGTGGTCCAAACAGACAGCCAAGCGTGACTCAGCATTGAGTCACGCGGTCGTTTATGTGTTAATCCTCGAAATCAGTAAAACCTGAAAATATTATAGGATTCTAATTCTGAACTATCAACTTAGTTAATATCGAAATTTCAGCGGCAATGCTGCTCGCGTGAAAACTTGTCCCAATGTTCTTTGCACCACCGGCGCCGAGTGTTGCAATGGGAAATCGGCGGTAAGTTATAAAAGAATTTCAATAAAAGGTTCAATTTTCAACTAATAAATCAAAGCTAAATCAATAACTATTTTAATTTAATTTTTTTTGTCATTTAGTAACCAATTAAGGTAACCAATTTGCAAACGAACACCGAAATTTGCGGTGTCGTCATCCCCGACGATCCCGTCTACAGCCAACCGTGTCGTGAGTTTCAAAATTTGACTAATCAAAAAGATTTTCCATTTTTTAGTTATACAGTTAGAGTGAAAAGTAAAAGCTCTTTTTATTGAAGCTCTTTTCTTTCTTTGAAATTCTTTAGAATTCTTTAGAATGCGCCACTTGCAACGCAGGAACGATGACCAAAGTCGTCGCTTCGCCCTATTCACCGTTTACTATAAGTGAGTTCAAAATTCCAAAATTGGTTACCTAAATGAGCGGAAAACCTTTCGAATGAAGATCTTTTCAAAAACCAATCAATTTCCAGCGACCGTCAACAAGAATGGATGCTATCGATACATTGCTAAGTGTACATCAATCACTGGACACCCAGCGAATATTGAGGTATTCTGGGAATATTTAGCTTTGATTATCTGGTGTCTTTGACTTTAATAGTAGGCTAGATATAGTCTAATATATAATATATCGAATGTTGAACGCCTGTAGAAATTTGGCTTTGGCTTGGCTCTGGGATGTTCCAACTGGGCTCAAACCAAGCAAGACAAGGCCAAAGGCCAGCACAAGGATTAGGTCAGAAGCCGGGTCCAGGTCTGGCTTTTGTTTTTGCTACGAGCCTGACCTAGATACTTGTTATGGGTCAAAGCCTAGCCTCGAACCTTGTCTTTCCTTGCTTGAGGCTTTGAAATCAACCTAGTTCTGGTCAAGATCTAATCTGACCTAATCTGATCACACTTTGCTAGATCTAGCAAAATTTTGCAAGTTGCGAGATTTGGGAGTTAGTCGGGTCCACACCTAACAAGTTAGCAAGTTAGCAAGTTAGCAAGTTAGCAAGTTAGCAAGTTAGCAGCTAGCAAGTTAGCAGCTAGCAAGTTAGCAGCTAGCAAGTTAGCAAGTTGCCGAGTCTACACTTGAAATCTAGTATCTAGTATTTTGCTAATTACTAGACACGACTTGCTAGTTGCAAGTTGAAAGTTGAAAGTGTTAATCCGAGTCCTGGTTTGACCCTGGAGTTGGCCTGAGATGCTGCCCTGAGATGCATTCCATTTTCAGTTCAACGACGGGGATAACGGAGTGAAGGCCGGCACACCGGGTATCCAAGTGAGCATTGATTGCGCGTCGGACGGCTCGGGTTGGCAGTACACATTGGGCAATGCAACAGTGTCCATTTCATCAATCGGATGTCTCGCCGTCACTTGTGATAACTCGCCTCAATATTGCTAATCGAAAAAGGAAAATCTGATTCTATTGTGAAGCTTTTCCCGCAAAAAAATTTGTTTTCTGTAAGCTCGAGTCTCTAATAAACCCAAAATGAGAATTTATGTGATTTTTCTAAAACTTCAACGAGATTTAAAGAGTAAATTTTGTGAATCAAATTGATACACGATTACAAGACTGGATTTTACAGTCTACAAAGAAATTTTCACTTGTAAGCTTGAGTAAGACTATATTTATGCTGGTATTTATGCTGGTATTTATGCTGGTATTTATGCTGCTATTTATGCTGCTATTTATGCTGCTATTTATGCTGCTATTTATGCTGCTATTTATGCTGCTATTTATGCTGCTATTTATGCTGCTATTTATGCTGCTATTTATGCTTTTCTGCTAAAGAATAAGAAAATCGAGTGATTGTGAATTGCTTTGAGCTAAGAACTCAAAGAGCAAGTTGAAAAATGCTCTTTATTGAGTAGGCAATTGCTTAGATTGATCTTGACATTGCTCAGATTGATCTTGACATTGATCTGATGATCTTGACATTGCTCAGATTGATCTTGACAAATCAAGAAGACAAGACTGATCAGTGAAAACTGGAAAATCTAAATCCACTTGAATCCAGTGATTTGACATTAACAACAGCTCTTGCAAATGAGTCGAGTGCGATTGTCAACTAATCTTGTGATTGTCGAGTGCGATTGTCAACTTAAGATCTTGTGAATTCACGAAAGATATTAAAAGACACAAAAATTAATTGGAAGTAAAACTAGAAGCAGGATGTAATTTTTGTTTGAAAGATGGCATATTTTAAAAAAGAAACCACGCTCTGGATTTAAAAAGCTGCTTAAAACTTAAAGCTTAAAAACCAAGACATTAACGATTAGCAGGAAAGTGATAAAGTACCAAATTTGAAACACGACTTTTGGCTTTTTGGAATTTTTAAAAAATACATTGATTCATACGAATAATATGGTACAAACGATACACGGCGTTGGTACAAACAATACACAATGCCTAGGCCCTAAATGTAGGGGAAAAAAGAACTAATCCAGCCGGTAGATTGAACCTATGACCTCCCGACTAAGAAAAAGGACTCTTACCCAATTGGAAAGGACTCTTACCCAGGCGGCGTTGGAAACCTGTTTTTACAACTTTGACACGCTCTAACGTATTAAATTTGAAACGTATTAAATGTTGATGTTTTAAACCAATTAAAGGTTAATGTTTTAAACTTATTAAACGTTAATGTTTTAAACGTACTAAACGTTAATGTTTTCATGATTTATCAATTTCAAACACTTTATTCCTGTGTTCATAAACTTTTGAGCATGAAACGAAGAATTTCTAGTGATATTCATATCCATAACCGTAATGATCGTGATGATCATTGTGATGTGGCTCGTAGTGGTGACCTGAAACTTGCTTTTGCAAAAAATTAAAGCCCCTTTGCTAATAAACTTTAAATTCAAACAAGCCAAAGTGATTAAAGAGAACGCCGCTTTCGCTTTTAACGCCTAGCGCCTAACGCCTAACGCCTAACGCCTAACGCCTAACGCCTAACGCCTAACGCCTAGCGCCTAGCGCCTAATGCCTAGCGCCTACTCGAAACTCGAACGAACTAAACAAATCAAATCGTTAAAAACTCTGGAAGTTTTCTTATTGTTTGAAGAATATTTTAGGCAACTAATGAATAGTTGAGACTAATGAATAGGCAACTAATGAATAGTTTTCCTTCTTTTGCACAAAGTTATAGTTTACTGTGACTGTGTCCATATTGCGTTAAAATGTCTTCAAAAGAAATGCAATTAAAAACAATTTCACTGCTGCACTTCTGCACAAGACTTGAAACTTTATATTGCTTAATCAAATTGTTTACTCATTAAAGTTTTCCTGTTGCTAAAAACTGTATAGAATTGCAAAAGTCACCGTTTCCATAAAATGGCTGTCCGTATCCGTGCGAGTAGTGCTTGTTGTAGCCCGAATAGTAGGGAGCTAAAGTTAAACTATTTTAGTATTTCTCTATCTGTAAAGCTTGGATTTAATATTCAGAAAATATTGGTAATCTGTCAATTAACAAAATTTGGGCAAAATTTAACAATTGACTTTACTCTGAGAGTAGACTGAGACTTGAGACTTTAACAATTGCTTTAACAATTGATTCGCTGAAAACTTACAATAGTTTGAGTCGTGGTGAGAGTAGGGAGCTGAAAAGAAAATATTTGAAAGGATAAGCTTTAAGATTTGAATCTAAAGCTTAGGCTTAGGCTTAGGCTTAGGCTTAGGCTTAGGCTTAGGCTTAGGCTTAGGCTTTGGCTTTGAGACTTTGGCTGAAAACTTGTTACATTCTTTTAGGCCGCAAGTTGCTCAAAGGTTTTAGTTTCAAGTTTACAGCATTTCCATTGTACTTTCGACATTGTACTTTTTGTACAATGACGAAAGTTATTTTCATAAATTGTCTAGTGTGTTTGTAAAGGTTGTAAAGTTGAATTAGGTTGAGGAAAAAGTTCTGACTCAACCTCAAATTCAATTTTTATGCATTTTTTGCTGGTTTTTCGCGCTTATAGTGTTTTATCAATCTTCATCTTTGTATTCCAGATGAGTTTGCAAGAAAAAGAGCTTCGAGTTTCGATTCGCTATTGCTGGAAACGGAAACTTTCGACAAGTGATGCCGTGGAAGAGATTTACGATGCTGAAGATGAAAGAACTTTAAGTAAATCAAAAGTTTCAAGATAGTACAGGAGCTTTGATTCCGATGACACGAGCCTTGAAGACGGTCGACTTCGACTTCGACTTATCTCGTTTCGGTCGACCGCCAAAGTTGGATGATAGTGACTCAAATCATTTGAAAAAGTTGAAGAAGTTGAAGAAGCTTGCCAAGAGTTCTTTGATTCGAAACCGGAGTGGTATTCGAAGTGATGCTTCGACGAGATCCGAAAGCTTGCAGATCGATGGCAGAAAGTCGTAGATCATCGATCGTAGCTCATCGATCGTAGCTCATCTACGACTTTCTGTCATCGATCTGCAAGCTTTCGGATCACGTTTGGTTCGGATTGGTTATATTTTGCGGAATAATGTTATTTTTTTTATTAAATTGCGAATAAAAATTGAATTTTTCGCAGCTGAGCCAGGACTTTTTCCTCAACCTAGTTATATACCCAAAACCTACAATAATCCTGATGATGGGCATCATAATGCGATGGAGAGTAGTGATAGCCATAGCCATAGCCATAATCATCTAAAAACTCTATTTCAAAGCATTATACATCCAGCTAACATGCTTTTAATCAAGCTTGACCAGGATAACTAATTGCAATCATTGAATTTCATCAATTTCATTAAGAAATGATCAATGCTTTCAATGGTTTTTCTATCAAATTGACAAGAAAGGCTTTGCACAGATTTGAATTGAAATTTCTTAAAAACGATTTCACTAATTCAAGAACACTTTGTTCTATTATTTACAAGTTGACTACAAGAAATTACTCGTAAAAAATGAGTGCAGCTTTCCCGTAAAATTTTAGAGATTTTAGAATTTTTTGGTGATTTCTATTTGATGCAAATTCTTGATCTTAACTTGATCAATTCAGATTTTTTTCTATGAAGAGTAATGTCTAAGTTTTACAAGTTGAATTGTACAGCTTTTAAAAAAGTACGTTTTGTACAGTTGAAAGTACGGTTTCAACTTAAATGAAGAAAAATCGACATTCTAAAGCTTAGTGTTGATCGGTTTTACAGTGTTTACAATGCTTACGATGCTTACAATGCTTCAAAATCAATTTCTCCTGAATTTACATTTTGATTTCACTTAAGCCCAAGCTTGATCCAAATATTTTCAAAACTTTAGCCAACTCACCATCGTGGGGCGCGTACTCGTTGTGATCGCCGTAATGTGTGCCTAAACTTTTACAAGTTTCAAGGCTTATTTCTTAATCATTTAGTAAATAGTCTACACAATCGACTCAAAAGTTTTAGGTTTTTTTAGCATTCACCCCAAGTTTTCCCGTACGATGTTCCCTTTGCGTATTTCCCTTCTCCTCCATATTTGTAAGCTCCCTCCACGTGGTGACTTCCCGATTCGTAGCCTGAGTCTAAAAATATAAAATTATTTCAATTTGGTCTGATTGTTTGGTCTGATTCTGTGATTTAGCCAAAACTTGGATGTTAACTATTAACAAGAGCCTATTGTAAAGCCATTAACTATTAGCAAGAGCCATTAACTATTAACAAGAGCCTATTGTAAAGCCATTAACTATTAGCAAGAGCCATTAACTATTAACAAGAGCCTATTGTAAAGCCATTAACTATTAACAAGAGCCATTAACTATTAACAAGAGCCATTAACTATTAACAAGAGCCTATTGTAAAGCCATTAACTATTAACAAGTGCCATTAACTATTAACAAGAGCCTATTGTAAAGCCATTAACTATTAACAAGTGCCATTAACTATTAACAAGTGCCATTAACTATTAACAAGTGCCATTAACTATTAACAAGAGCCTATTGTAAAGCCATTAACTATTAACAAGAGCCTATTGTAAAGCCATTAACTATTAACAAGAGCGCCAAATTTAAAACTCGACTTTTGATTTTTCGGTATTTAAAATAAGAACAGACACAATTAAAATATGTTCCTCTTAAATAATTCGTTTTCTAAGACGATAGATTAGATAAAATTAGAGTCAGATTACAGTAGTTGAGAAAGCGGAAACGTTTTCGAAAAACACTTTTAACAATAGTGAGTCGAATCAGCCTTTTCGGCTAGACATTAGCAATCGTACCGTATTCTTTCTTGTAATCATTGTAATCATGCTCGTCGTGGTGATGATCATCGTAGTGGGGGATTGCTGAATTGGGTTTTAAAACTGAATTGTATTCGATTGAATAAGTCTTTTCGTTTTTTTTCGTATTTTCATTTAAAAACAACAAATACCCAACCTGAATGAGGACATTTTTTAGAATGAGAATGAGGACATTTTTCTGTGAACAATAGCGACTTACTAGTGAAAGTAAAGCTGTCAACTTTGAAACCCAATCATTCTCCTCACTCACCTCCTGCTCGCACTCCAACAATAACGACGAGAAAAACGATGAGTTTTCTCTGCATTTCGTTGATTTCTGAAGTAAATATGTCTGATTTTTCAGCAATTCATCTTCTCTTTTATACTCGACAAATTTTGTGGAATTGAAAAGAAAAAGACGATTTTTTTGCAGCAAAATGAGGGCAGTCTTTGTGTGAATTGATATGAGAAATTTGCGAATAGAAGAATGAAAAAATAAAAGAATTTTTGCGTCTTTATATTCTTCTCATCAAAAAACTAGGAAAAAGAGGAATTCCGAAGATCTTATTGCACTAGTTTATTGCACTTATCTATGAGAAAGCCAAGTTTGAAATTTGAAGTCATCTGATGAAGCTCCAGCTTTGTTTTGACTGACTGTTTTGACTATTTTGACTATTTTGACTGACTGTTTTGACTATTTTGACTGTTTTGACTAACAATTGACTTTGTTAGGTCAATTTTTTACGTAAACATTGGGTATTTTAGTTAAAAAAAAGACTTCAATGCCCTAGAAAGAATATGTTTACATCGTGCACAGAGCACGTTTGCATGAGCACAAAGTACACGAGCTCACTCATTTCAAAATCCTTGTTTCAAATTGTGTCACTTTAAGATGAAAAACTTGCAACTGATGACGGGCAGTTGTTTTTTTTCAAAAACAATACTCAATCCAGCTTGCCAGCCAGCCGTCCAACTCTTTTGATCTTTCAAAACGCGCGAAAAGTTTCAAAAAAACGCTTAGTTAACATTTCTCTTTTGATTCGATTGACCTCGATTCACAACTGCCACTCGTTTTCCCCATTTCCCCCAATCCCATATGTTCTCCCCATTCAAAAGATCCTCATTTTCTTTGTCTCACCATCACTTTTTCATTTCTTGTATACTTTTTAAAATCCTTTATAGAATTGCGTTACTTTTCGAATCATTTTAAGCTAAAAATTCGTTATTTTATGATTTTTTTCATTTCCCAGCGTACTTTGTGTGTACTTTGTGCTTCTTCAGTGTACTTTGTGCTCGAAACTGTAAACGCATCCTCTTTTCCACACCAAGTTCTCCATTTTTCTTCTAGAAACGTTTTGATTTCCCGAGAACAAGTGTTATTTCTTAGAATAATTTTGTTTCTCCAATGATTCATTTCATATTACTAGTTTCGAAGTTAAAGTTTTACTTGTTCCGTTTTACTTGTTTTATCAGTGCTTTTTTAATTTTTATTTTTTATCAATGCAACAACAAATAACCATTTTTTTTAGAATCACAAACAATGCGAAACCATTCTCGTTCACCGATTCCCGAGGATCCGCGAAATGACACGAAAATGAGGACGAATCCACAAATGAGCGTTTTCACTGGCGAAAGGGAGAATAGCGAGAATGAGTGAGTGCTTAATGAAGTTTTGGGGGAGTGGGACAAATGCGACCTTTTTTTCCGCACCTTGCCCATTAGCGCACCTTTTTTCGCGTTTTAAAAAAGCTCTAAAAAGCTAATATTAACCAATTTCTATTCCAAATTTTGTTTTTCTAGGTAATTTGAGGGTGTCGAATTCAAATTTTAACATAACAGAGCGTGTGGAACCAATTTGAAAGACAAAACGGCTAGATCAAATTACAGAAAATTGTCGATCTTTCTCTTTGTATAACTGCGTCCGTTTGTTTCCACAAGCTCTGATATGTCAAAATTTCGATTCTACGTCCTAAAATTACCTAGAAAAACAACTTTTGGAATAGAAATTGGTTAATATTAGCTTTTTAGAGCTTTTTTAAAACGCGAAAAAAGGTGCGCTAATGGGCAAGGTGCGCAAATGTCCGGGTGCGCAAAAAAAAAAGGTCGCATTTGTCCCACTCCCAGTTTTGGTATACAGGGTGTTCAATATTTATGGAGACCAGTAGATTATTACGTTTAGAGCTCATTTTGTACAAGTTTAATGCTTAAAAGGGAAACACTTATCAATACGCCCAATTTTAACAACTTTAAGTTACTTTTTTCAAAATCACTGCCTTTTGCGCTGTTGTTTGCTTAGAAGCACGTGTGGAAAGCGCCTATCGCAGCCTTTTGGTGAAATTTGATCGGATAAATTGAGTTTTTCATAAACTTATGTTAAGTTTTCTTGAAAGAATCAAAACTAAAATGTGGTTCTAATGTTCTAAACCATTCTCGTTCACTTAACATAAGTTTGTGACAAACTCTATTTATCCGATCAAATTTCACCAAAAGGCCACGATAGGCGCTTTCCACACGTGCTTCTAAGCAAACAACAGCGCAAAAGGCAATGATTTTGAAAAAAGTAACTTAAAGTTGTTAAAATTGGGCGTATTGATAAGTGTGTTTTTAATGTCCCGTAGATTCGAAAACTGTTAAATAGTGAAGACTTTCTCATCGTTAAATAAGAACAACTAGGTTCTGACTTCTTTTGATGAAAATTGTTGATCGAGTTCCGATGAATCGTTTTTGGAATATAAAATTTAGTAAACTGTAAAAATAATCTAGAAAATCGAGTTTCTTCCAATTCCTATGCAGTGCTTTCTTGACGATTTTTTTTTCATAAACCAATTTTGAGAGCACTAAACGACCTGCGAGCTCAAAAGTCCCCATAAATATTGAACATCCTGTAGTCATTTTTGCAAAAATTTGAGCATAAAACTTTTGTTTTTTGGAAAGAATTGCATTGCATATCATCCATCTCTTTATTGGCAATTTAGCATCAGAGGTGTCATTGTTAAATTTGGAACACAGCTTTCTAATCAGTGTGCTAAGAATCTAAGATCAGCTAAGAATACATTGATATCAAATAGAAATCGCTCAAATTTGATTGACCTACTTTGGAGTGTGTTTAGTTTAGTGTTGTAAATTTTCAAACTTTAAAAAAATTTGTTAGATTGAATTCAGTATCTTTCTTAAGTCGAGCGAACCTTATTAATGAACTTTCAGAAGCTGACTAGATTCCAAATAGAATAGATTCCAAGCTGACTAGATTTGAAGCAATCATTTTTTGTGAAACTCGGCAACTTGAGATTTAATTAAAGATTAGATTTAATTTAGATTTAATTAAAGAATGAATTCAAAATTTTTTATAAAAGCTAAACGGTTTTAATTCCATTTTGTTTAGTTTTACAGTGGATCCAAGCTCTCTGCCCGGCGTTCACCCAATCCCGCGAGCCTTCAATCGCTACATTTTCTCGCAGCTCGAACCCGGGGAATACTATGCGAAGTGGGTCAAGAAAAGTTAAAAAAGACAATTTTTTTAATTAAAGGTTTCAATTGCATGGAGTTGTAGCTGGGATTTTTAAGAACAAATCCGCAATTCACGCCTTTTTCTTACCTTTTTATTGTTAGGCTGGAGAGAAAGTTCTTGCCGATTTCTTGGGAGAGGATCTCATCGAAGGGTAATCTACAAGTGTTAGATACCAATTTCTAGCTGAATTCAAGCCGGATTAGATGACTAACTTTTTTGGTTTTTTTTGAGAAAACCCAAACAAAAATTTTTTTAGGGGCTATTTTACCCAAAAAAAACAGCATTTTAGGGGCAATTTCTTAGCAAAAAAAGACAGAAAGTAGGAATTTTTGTTTTTTGAGCAAAATAGAACCTAGAAAAATCTAAAATCTATCTCCCCAACCTATATAGAATCAATAATTTCAGATCATCCACCCAACTACTTGGCCCTTTCGCCAACGAACCCAACGAAAGCCATTTGCCATCGAATGAAGATTTCGTCATCATGAGGGTACCTTTCACATAAAGTATTTGAATACTGCGATTTTTTAAAAAATACTGTAAGATTCCAATAAACTCATAGTAGCTTGATCTCATTCAAGAAATGCTAGAAATGGAAAAATTTGGATCTGACCAAATTTCTCCTTTAACCCTGACGATTAATTTTTTTAAACCTATACCGGAAACACTCCAAGCTTTAAACAAGAAACTCCCAAATATTGACAAAGTTCAAAAACACATCTAAATCTTACTGAAAATGAGATTCAAAAAAATTTTAGAGAATGGCCAAACTTCCCAACGGACGATTGGCTTTTCAAAAAGTGGCCGAGGTCAAAAAATGATGCGAATGAGAAGCTGGTTTTCGAAATTAATCCCCAAATTTGAGACTTATCGAAATGTCTAAACTTAAAAGCTTTAGTGTAAATGTAATATCTTTTTCTTGCTTTGTTTTAAAATTCTGACACTTTTCACACAGATTCACTTGATCTCATCATTGTTCTTTTGAGTATTAACTAAACGATGATTTAAATTTCATCACTAAATCACCTCTACTTGAAAACAGTCTCGTGCAAACAAATCGTCATAAACTATGCCAAAAAACAAGGAACGCACGAAAAAAAGGGAAAAGACAGGAGTCATTGAGTGATAAGATAGTAAAGAGGGGAAATTGAGAAAACGGAATCATTTTGAATCCCCCAAGCACAACACAGTCATGAGGGAAAGGCTTTATTTGAACGTGTCTCAAATTATATCTTTATTGTAAACCAGCTGACTGAATGTTTGATGTCAACGCATTGTCCCCATGGCGTAGTCGGGAGCGCGCTTGTCTACAGCCCACAAAACCCGGGTTCGACCCCCAGTAGTGCCACTCAATTTCGATTTTTTTGAATTTTTTGTTTTAAATGGCGCAGCTATTATATTTTAAGACTTTAAAAAAAATCTCAGTTTTTTTTGGCCCAAAAACGGCTGAAAAAAAGCCCGTACAGACGGACGGACAGACACTTCTCTTTTATATACAGGGTGGTTGAAAATTACGTGCGCCAAAGAAAATTTTAATTTAATTTTTGTTCAAAGAAAATGTAAAAATATTTATTTATATAATAGTTGTAACAAAAGCATTTAATAATTACAAGAAATTTTCGAAGTGGCCTCCATCCGCTTTGATCCAGGCTTCAATTCGCTTCTTTATAGAATCGACGGTGCGGCGGAGATAATTTGCATCTAAGTCATTCCAGATTTTGATCAATTCTCGACGTAAATCATTCAAATTTGTGATTTTCCTATTTCTCAATTGTTCTTCCATAAAACCCCAAACCGAAAAGTCCAACGGATTGAGATCCGGGCTGTTTGCAGGCCATTGATCCTTCGTCAAAAAAGAGCCAATTTTGGTTTCGAGAAAGCGAATTGTTGTTTTGGCTCCGTGGGCCGGCGCCCAATCTTGTTGAAGGGTCAAATTGGGATGGCTCCTCTTCCATGGCACCACAGCTTTCTCGAGAATCTCTTTTTGATAGACTTTTGCGTTAATCTTCACATTTTTATCGATAAAAACCAACGGGGTCTTGCCCGAAGCACTGATTCCACCCCAAACCATCAAACTTTTTGGAAACTGACCTTTTGTAGCGACTTTTCGTTTACGAGTGCTCTTGAGAGCTGGACTGAGAAGTTGACGGTGATTTTGTGAGTTTTTAGCCACTTCCAAGGTGAAAATCTTCTCATCCGACCAAAGAACATCGTCAATGCGCCGCACCTTGAAAAAAGCTCGCAATTTCTGGCATTTCTCCTTCCGGTTTTGCTTGGCTTGATCGGTGAGCACTTGACCGTTTAACAGTCGATAACTTCGAAGTCCGAGCTCATTTTTCGCTATCGATTGAACCGAGAAACGCGAAATTTAAAGCTGTTTTGCCATCTTGTTCAAACTACGATTGTCTTTTCGCTCGATCCTCCTCTTGATGATCCCACGCATCTTTCGGGTGTTAACGGTCCTCTTTTGTCCTCTTCCGGGCTTAGACTGAACATGCCCCTCATCTTTCTATTGCTTTTACGATCTTCTGAACGGTCCTCAGAGCCACCCCAAGCCTCGATGCGATCGACGAGTTCTTCATGCCGCTCGTCGCCAGCTGTGCGATTGCGTCCCGACTAGCGCACGTCTTTGTCATGACCTAGAAAACAACTTTTTTTAACAAAAAAATTAATAGACAACGATAAAAAGAATATTAAAACACAAAAAGATGAGTAGTAATGCTTTATACATTGTTTAAAACTATGATGTTGATGCTGCGCGCACGTAATTTTCAGCCACCCTGTATAGTAGACTGTTTAAAAAATGGCTCTTCAATAGTTTAGGGGACTTTTAGATTAGTTGTCAAGCTATAAATGTTCATAACGTTTTGCAGAGACAAGATTTTCGTTTACTTTTCATATATTTTTAATAGAAAACATTCCAGGCTTCAAACAAAGTGACTAATTTACTTAATCATCAATAATTAATTATTAATTGATTGATTGATTGGGGATAGGCTACTTTGCGCCAAATTTTTTGCGCAAAAGGGTCTTTTGCGCAACTCGCCATAACTTTCTTCTAAGTCGGCCAATCTTTATGATTTTGGTTTTATTTTGTTGCACTTATTGAGATCTACAAAATGAAACCAAAATTGTAAAGATTGGTTCACTTAGAAGAAAGTTATGGCGAGTTGCGCAAAGACCCAGCTGCGCAAATGACCCTTTTGCGCAAATAAAATGGCGGAAATTAGCCTACCCCATTGATTGTCATTGTTTGTTAATTGTCAATAATTAATCATCGATAATTAATTAATTTAGTAATTAATTACCCAACCAATCTTTGCTTACTTTGCTTTGCTTACTTTGAAACAAAGTTTCTCAATTCATTTTTTTACGGTTTTTGTTTCTAACCCTGATTTAGCTGACATTTAGCTTTAAATTTTAATTTTTTAAGGAAAAAAAATGACTGAATCAATCGATCTACTTGTTGAGGGAGCTAAATTGACAAAGAAATGGCTATCGGAAGTGATGGAAACACATTTCGATGAACAGCCGACCGTTAAAGAGGTAATTTTTTTTAGAGATATTGAAACATTGTCGACAAAATAATAAGATTGGAATGGTTTTTAATCGATTTTGCAGGTGCTACTGCTTTTGATTTATTTAGAACCATAGAAAATGCGAAATTGAGGAAAAATTTCGTTTCTGAAAGCCGTAAAAGGTTGCAAAATTGTTTTTAAAGCCGATGAACCTAGGCAAAAGTATAAAAAGTAATGCATTAGATCAAATTTCAAACTAAATTGTTATAGGATATGTTTGCTAATTAATATCAAACAAAATTTCTCAATGCCACTCGAAAATTGTCAATTTTTAGGTGTCCTGTCTTGGCCCAGAGACGCTCGGCTACATGTCAACGATGAGACGAGTGCATTTGCAATGGGAGAATCCAGCTGACAAACCAACTTCCGTTATTATAAAGGTCATTTTAAAGGTTTAAAATATTCCTTCTAAAATAAAATAGCTTCTAGAGTCGGTGGTTTTAAAACAAACAAACACAGTTTCTTTTTAGTTGCCCAATGTGACCGTTGCATCGGAGGCGTGGAGCAAATCGGCGGAGAATGGCCACGAAATGGACGACTATGGTGGTGATGTGATCACGATGATGCACAATTGTGAAACGAGCGTCTACAATTGTCTATCGAAATGTGAGTTACCCATTTTAAAAAAAAACTCCTTTGCTCAGGCTTAGGATTAGGCTGTCTAGAAAGTCTTTTCGTTCTTTTTTGTACTTTCGTTTAAAATCAACAAATGCACCAATTGAACAATGGTTTCTTTCATTAGAAAGGTTCATTAGAAAGTCCAATCATTTCTCTGCAAAATAACATTAAAACAGGTTTCAAATGGTTATGTGTGGATTTTTTTGGGAGCGTGAAGTCGGATAGTCAAAAAGTCGGCTTGATGATGCGGTTTAGACACTTTAGCTAAAGAAACTTATCTTCATGTCAGTAAATAAAAGATAGAGCACAAAAAGTTTAGTATATAATCAAATTTTCAGAGAAATTCATTCAACCAATTTCTTCTTAGAGGTTTTTATAGATTTTTCTACGAAAAAGAACGAAAAGATTTTCTCGGCAGCTTAATAGAAAGTCTTTTTGACAGCTTTTTGACACATCTTTTTGGAAAGCCGTTAAAAATCTTGAGTTTCACCTCAAATTGGATCTAAGGGAACGTTTCAGTGGGAGTGGGACAAATGCGACCTTTTTTTTTGCGCACCTGGACATTTGCGCACCTTTTTTCCGCACTTAGCCCATTAGCTCACCTTTTTTCGCGTTTTAAAAAAGCTCTAAAAGCTAATATTAACCAATTTCTATTCCAAAAGTTGTTTTTCTAGGTAATTTTAGGGCGTAGAATCGAAATTTTGACATATCAGAGCTTCTGGAAGCGAACGGACGGAGTTATACAAAGAGAAAAATCAACAATTTTCTGTAATTTGACCTAGCCGTTTTGTCTTTCAAATTGGTTTCACACGCTCTGTTATGTCAAAATTTGAATTCGACACCCTCAAATTACCTAGAAAAACAACTTTTGGAATAGAAATTGGTTAATATTAGCTTTTAGAGCTTTTTAAAACGCGAAAAACAGGTGCGCTAATGGGCTAAGTGCGGAAAAAAAGGTGAGCAAATGTCCGGGTGCGCAAAAAAAAGGTCGCATTGGTCCCACTCCCCAAATTGGATCTAAGGGAACGTTTCAACTTTAACTTCAATGTGTGTAAGGGTAAATGAGTTCTTTTGCACCCCCTATTCAATCGAATGTCTTTGAATTTGCTAGTAGTTGACAAATTGCATATTTTTTCAAGTTTAAATGGCCAAAATGACCTTATAAATCCCATTTCTAGTTTCCATTTCAATTTCCAGACTACCATTTCTAACCTTGATTCAAATTTTTCTGATTTTGATTTCTGAACTTATTCATGAAAAATTTTGAAATTTTTAAGCTGAATTTTCTGAACTATTTTCAAATTTTCAAAGTTTTTATTTTAAAGCAATAAAAGTTTATTGCCTTATTATCGAAGTTGTTCACGTTAATGATTATCAGAATTTAGATCCAGAATTCCGTCTCTCGATTCCTTTCCTGTACTCGGCACTCGACGTCTCAACTGGAACACCAATCATTGTCATGGAGGATTTGGAGAAAGCTATCACTTTTGATGTCGCTGAGGGATTCAATGAGAAACAAGTGTGTTATTTTAAAAATTTTGTAAATTTTTCGATATTATAACTCCTCGACACTAGGCATGGGCACTACAAACTAAAAGCCCTTCTAATTTACTTCAAATATTCTAGATTGGCATGATTTTTAGCTCAAAAAATAGAGAATCTCAAGAGCTTTCGAATGGGCTAAAGCACACCCAAAAATATCAATGCTAAAGGAAGTTACAGCGTTTAGGGCTGATAAGAAAGATAAGAAAGTTTAGGGCTGATATTTTTGGGTGTGCTTTGGTTCATTCGAAACCTCCTCAATTTTTTTGTGCTACAGATCATGTCAATCTAGATTTTTTAAAGTAAATTAGAAGCATTTGTAGTATGAAAATTCGTCAATTTTGTAGTTTATAGTGCCCATGTCTACTCGACACTAATAACTAAATGGATAGCTCATCTTTGAGATCAATCTGGTTTCAAAACTGACATTTTAAAACACTGTTTCTCCAAATCCGTGTTTCAATCCGGTTAACATCAAGTAAACCTGGGAATTTCCAATGAAATAATTACCATAATGCATTTTCTTTTAAGTAGATTGAATAAATTTAGATAGAATTGTGCTTAAAAATTTCATTTATCGTTTTCTTTTTTAGCTATTCGCCATTGTTGACGAACTGGTGAAATTGCACGCGCTTAGCTACAAGTACGATGAAGTGAAAAACTGTGGAATCAAAGAGGTTCGGCAAAAAGTCAAAAATAATTAACATAAACTTTAAGATATAACACATATTTTTAGCATTAACCAGTGCTTAGAAATGATTAAAAAATGATGAAAAATCGGCTATTTTTTGTCATTTTTCAATCAGTTTGTTCTAAGCACTGGTTAATGCTAAAAATATGTGTTATATCTTAAAAAATCATCCATTCTTTCTACTTTAATTTGATATCTAAGCGTGTAGAAACAAACGTACTGGTGTCAAGATATGAGCCTTTGTTTGAGGGTAAACTTAGACTTGGCGACGCTCCTATAGGGACTCTTCTATCAGAGTTTTTATGGTATATGTGAAGGCAATTATGATAACCAATTGTCAATCGTGTCACATTTTATCCCTAGATATTTTAGGATCATATTTTAAGCTATTAATTTTTGTTTAAACTCGCGCAATAGCACTGTTTAAATATGGAATCGAGTATAGAGAAAAAAGTTGAGTTTCAAATGTGTTCCGGTTAGCAATAGACGATCGAAATTAATCGATCTGACATGCATGCGCTTTTAAACTAAATCTAAACAAATCTTATATTCAAAATGACTTTTTAAAGCTTTTTTAAGATTTTTAAAAGCACAAGCCATTTTTCAGTCAACTCTGACTCACATGGAACAATTCCAGAAGTTGGTACTCGGAGTCGCGGAGCAATTGTACAAGGTTTGGGGAAAATCGAGTTATTCTATACTTTAAACATTAATGATTAATTAAAGTTAAAACTAGAAATTAACTGACTTAGCCTAAAATTTAAATTAGTTGCTTAAGAAATCTCAATCGCGAATAGCCGCACACATTTGCTCGATGAGCTGCCCAAAATTTGAAACCTAACTTTTTGTGAGCTGCTATTCGAAAATTAAAAATCGTCAAATTCTTAAAGTTCGTCATTGCATTATTTTCTTTCTCGAGGACATTTATTAACTTTTTGTCCTTTTTCCTTTCCGTCAAAGTCAAATCCTTTTTCCAGCAAAACCCCGAATACCTTGCCTCAGTGGATGTGTTGATTCGAAATCATTTGACGAAAGACTGGTTTCAAGATCTTTTCGAGGCGATCAAAAGCGGTAATTTTATTAAAAAAGCATAAAATTTCCAAATTTTCACGACTATGGATCGAACTTAGAATACTGATTCAATAATAAAGAGGTTTCTAGTCAAAAATTCATTCAATAAAGCTATTTGGATGGTTTTGTATGTTTTGTAGTTAAATGTTTCAAGTCTAGAAGCAAAATTTAGGTAATTTTAGATAAGGATAGATAAGAAATTTTCCATTTGATTTATAGACTAGCTAGTAATTAGTTTGTTTGCTTTTGGAACTTTTGATGCTTTATGTTTCAAATTCAAAATCAGAATTTGTTTCCTAGACTGGCTTAAGCCTACTGTTAATCTACAAGCCCTGTTTCATGATAGATTATTATGTTATAAAGATATGTTTATACCGTAAACTTTAGCAAAAAAGCTATAAAACTATGTAATATTTAATCCTTTATCAGATCCGAACACCGTCCTATGCCATGGAGATCTGTGGTCACCACAAATTTTGTGGAAAGCCGAGAAAATCGCTGCGATCGTTGATTGGGCGCTGTGCAAGGAGGGACCGGTGGTGAGATTTTTTAAAAGATTAAAGCATTCGAACGCGAATACTCGAATAGTTTAGTCGAATAACGGTAAATGTTCACGATTAATTGCTTTAGAATCTTAAAATTGAATCACCTGGTCCAAATGTAAATCCACGCTTCGATATGACCATTAGGCATAAATCAACTAGCTTTAATATAGAAAACTTGAAACACACTCTTTCTGAAGTTCTTTTTTATGGATTATAAGTAAAAGAATGGTTTGATGGCCATTGAATTGACCGACTTTGATCAAAAGGCGTTAAGTTTGCAACTTTAAATTTGAATCTCTTTAAATTTGAGCTTTAAATTTGAATCAGTCTCAAATTGCTGATGTTTATTCAAATTTCTTGGATCATTTTTAGAAATAGTAGATTATACATGAAAAGGGGACTTTCTGGAGTCATTTTGGGTAATAATCAAATTCAAACGTACTCAACTTGTCAACGAGTAAATTTTGAATGATAAACTACCAAGTCAGATCAATTATAGCATGCTGGCTGGGTTGTTTTTTTTTTAATTTTACGAGTTAACTGTTATTAACTCGACGGTACACGATTTCAATCAGTACACTTTGAAACTCAATTTTTTTTCCTCAAAAATTCTAGCCTTCTTATTCGTTTTTTTGATTAAAGATCAAATCAAATTCAATTATTACTAATGCGTAAACTCTTTGAATTTGTAAACTTTTGAAACTCACTTTTCCCTCTTACAGACCGTCGACCTGATGCACGTGCTTTCAATGAGTGTACCGGTGAAATTGAGGCACGAATCTTTCGAGAAACTCCGGGATTATTACCTGGCACAGTTGAAAACGAAAATGGAATCGATCGGACTGGAGTCACCGATTACAAAGGAAACCTTTCAAGTGAGGAAAATTTGAAAACTATCATCATAAAATGAACTTGGATTATCTTAAAGTGAACTTGGATTGATGACGTCCCAATAGCAATTCACATTAATTACTTTGAAACTTGTAAATTTTCAGGAAAGCTACAAGCGAATGTTGCCCTATACGGCCGCGATGGGCGTTTTCTCCGCGGGAATGTGGAGCAATTCGCCGGTAACATAGAAATATTTAAAATAATATTTATAGATATTGGGTTGGTGAATTGAAAACTGCGGGGACTTTGAGCAAAAATTTATTCAACATAAAACCATAAATTCATTCCAAATAATTTCTATTATTATTGACGACTTCTGCCCATTTCACAGGCAATTTTCGGATTCCTCTTTCGTAGTAGGATTTTGCTTTTGAATTGAAAAACTTTTGGAGACAATTTTTGACTGCTTCTTCCGAATCGAAGTGTTCTCCCGCAAGCTCATTACTCATGCTCCGGAATAAATAGTAATTAGAAGGGGCGAGGTCCGGACTGTATGAGGGATGCGCCAAAAGTTCCCAAACAAGGCCATTTATTTTAGAGTGAGTCAGTTTTGCAACATGAAGGCGCGCGTTGTCGTGGATGAGAACGATCTTTGACTTGGAGGGCCTATTCTTCTTCAAGGATTCATTCACCTTTCCCAACTGTTCACTGTATTTGATTGCACTAAGTGTCGTCTTGCTATCCGGGAACTCCCAATACAACACTCCCTCCATCTCCCAGAAAACGCAGGGCATAAACTTCTTCTGGTGCAAATCGGGCTTCATGGGTCATTTTCATTTTCGGTCATCATTGGGGTCATTTTCGGGTTTCTCACCTGGCCCCACCCATTGCCGCTTCCTCCAAAAGTTCACAGATAAAACCCATTTCGCATCTCCTGTCACAATTTGAGGAAGAAAAGATTTCCTTTCGTATCGTGAGAGATGGGCGGCACTGATCGAGGCGCGCTACCACTTCTGTGGGTCAGTGAGGTTATGGGGCACCCAAGTCCCAAATTTCGATTTAAATCCAAGGGTATGAAGGTGCCTTTGCACTGTAACATGATTAACCCCTAACTCTTCTCCCAATTCACGCGATGACACCCGATGGTCGTTGGTAATGAGTTCGAGTAATTTGGAGTCATCTAGTTGGGGTGCCGCTCCACGGCCCTCTGCAACTTTCAAAGATTTGTCCCCAGAACGAAACTTGGCAAACCATACTCGACATCTTCTTTTTGAAGGTGAGTCCTCCCCATATATCTTTTTAATATTAGCATTTGCCAACCCTGCACTGTGCTCTTGTAGGAACTTATGAGGCATGACATGACTCATGAAGGAACTCATGAAGCATGACATGACTCATGAAGGAACTCATGAAGCATCACATGGCTCATGAAGGGACTCATGAAGCATCACATGGCTCATGAAGGAACTCATGAAGCATCACATGGCTCATGAAGGAACTCATGAAGCATCACATGAAGCATCACATGACGAATATGTGCAGATTGTCGAGTGCAATAGAAAAAGTGAAGAAAAATACCAAAAAATAAAAAGCTGGAACCATAATTTTTTTCGCAATAATTTGAGGAAATGTTGAAGTAAACAAACCCTTTTTCAGCTGGTTCTATGATGTTGTTTTCTTTATCTGCGAATCCCGCGAAATAGCCCGCAGTTTTCAATGCACTAACCCAATACTTCTACAGTAGATTTATTGGATCTATTAAACTATTAGATCTAACTATTAGATCTAACTATTAGATCTAACTATTAGATCTATTCTACGTTATCAGCCTACAAATTTATCCAAACATTATTACAATTTCAGGTACTGAAACGGGGAAAAGACGACGATGATGCGCGAATTAAAGAAATCATGCATCGATGCAAGGAAATTGTTGAAGAAACCGTGAAAGCTTATGATTGGAAATGAATACTTTGATTTGAAAATAGAAGTTTCAATTTTGACGAAATTGGCGATTCAGAACATTCCAGAATCGTAATGTGAATTCTTCATTCAATTTTTTTCTTGTTAAACTTTTTACTTGACTTTTTAGCTTGCCTAAAAGGTAAGATTGTCAAAAATTCAATTTTGTCCTTCCATTTTCGAAAAACAATTCAAATTTTAAACATTTTCCTCCAAATATTGTCAATAATTTTATTTTAAACATTAGAATTTCAATATATTAGGTTGGCCGAAAAGTTCTTTCCGTTTTTTGACGCTAGATCTAACTTTTTATTTTACGCATCAAAAATGCCAAATAAAAAACAGAATTTATCTACTCGAAATATTCACCGTCAACATCAATAACATCCTGCCACTTATCCGGCAACAAATCGATTCCGCGGCGGTAAAACTCACGTGGCTTCGAATCGAAAAACTGAGAAGAGTGACAAGCGCATTTCCTCGACGTTTTGAAAGATCTTTCCACGCAAATGATGCTCCAGAGGCCTGAAAAAATGATAATCGGACGATTCTGGACAAAATATAAAAATAGCTTTAAAACTGAAGCTTTAAAACTTTTGAAAAAGCCTTTTGAGAAATGAGAAAATCGTTTGTGCTTTTTAAATTTTAGATCGAAATCATGCTAGAGCTACAATTAGATTTCATTTGATTCACCCATTCATTTGATTCATCAAAATCATGATAGAGCTAGAATTAGATTTCATTTGATTTACTCATCCATTTGATTCACCCATGTATCCATTTCTTAACCAATTCTTAACCAATTCTCGATCATTAATCATCCAATTTCACTCGAATCGAGGAAAAAAAATGGGACAAAGAAGAGTGGAAAATGTGGAGTGTTTGTGGGGGTGTCGGGTCGTTTTTTCTTTTCTTTTCCTTTTCTTTTCCTCCTCTTTTCCTTTTCTTTTCCTTTCCACATCATCAAATTCCTCAACCCTAAATTCCCCCTCAATCAAATCTGTTCTTGAGAGGTTCTGATTTTTGATTCACTGATGAGTGAGTCTTTTAAAGTCTCAGCTGATCTTTTTTCAAATTAAAATCATTTTCAAAAGTTTTCAGCTTAATTACGCAGACTTAACGCCAATTCAACGCTTTTTATCAATTTGTTATTATTCGAAAAGTTAATGTTTCAATTTTTTCGATTCCAGTTGCACAAATGAGTGTTTAATGGGCGGATGTGACCGCAAGAATAAAATTGCTGCATAATATTCTTACAATTTGGTGGCAAGTGGCAACCCAAGTGATTCATCTCAAAAATAACCGCTTTATCTGGTTTATTTACATCTAATAGCTTTAGCTTTAGCTTATAGCTTTATAACGCCAGAAATAACGTTCAATTTCAAATCATTGAATGAAAAAGTTTAAACGTTTAAACGGTTTTAAAGAGAGCCAAAAAATTCGCTTAAAATTTGACCTTCTAGTGAAAAATCTTTCATTTCACATATAAAGAGTAGCTAATAGAAATTCGTTTTGAATAGAATGGCCTAATAGCAGTTTAGAACAGTTTCTAAACAGTTTTCTGTTTAGAAGTGAAAAAGTTTTTGTGTTTAGAAGTCTAAGCCTTTCTCGGCAGCCTAATAGCTAAACATTTCAGCTTGTCAAACTTGTTTTGTTCAGCTTTAAAATATAGAAGTATCAGCTTTAAAATAGCATCCGAATCGCTCACTGATCATCGCTTGTTTGCCTAGGTTGTCATTTGTCATCTCTATAAAAACCCCAAATGAATAAATCAGAAATGAAACCAATAAAATATCCAGAGGATCAAATTTCCTCTTTTTATTTTTTCATTTCCCTTTCTTGATGGGATTTCAGGGATAAATGCCTTTTCTGAGGGTGGACTCTATTAATGAAAAATGGAGTGGACACAAAAGCGCAAACAAAAAAAACTTGATGTCTCTTTTATTGCAAAATACGAATGCTGTTTTTGATAGCTTTATCAATAATTAATCCCGAAAAAATGACTTTGAGTGATCTATTGCGTCAATGATGTTATTATTTTTAGATCATTGTGATTCTTGGCGTAATTTGTGCTCACTTTGCAAACACACCATTTCTAGAGCATTGATTCTGCGTTTTTTTTTGAGAAATCGAGTTGTTAAACTCAAATAATATAAAATCATATCGCTAATTGATCATCATCATTCTCATTTCTACTAGTTAACGTTGAAGCAAGGTTTTTTTAAAGGTTCCCCAAGAAATTTAAATTAAGTGCTAACAAGAGTTTATTTTAACTAGTTAATGTTGAAACAAGGTTTTTTAAAGGTTCCCCACAAAATTTAACGAATTAAGTGCTAACAAGAGTTTATTTCTACTAGTTAACGTTGAAACAAGGTTTCTTTTCAAGGTTTTTTTTAGAGATTCACTAAGAAATCTAACGAACTAAGTGCTAACAAGAGTTTATTTTAACTAGTTAATGTTGGAACAAGGTTTTTTAAAGGTTCCCCAAGAAATTTAACGAATTAAGTGCTAACAAGAGTTTATTTCTACTAGTTAACGTTGAAACAAGGTTTCTTTTCAAGGTTTTTTTTAGAGATTCCCTAAGAAATTTAACGAACTAAGTGCTAACAAGAGTTTATTTTCACTAGTTAACGTTGAAGCAAGGTTTTTTAAAGGTTCCCCAAGAAATTTAACGAATTAAGTGCTAACAAGAGTTTATTTCTACTAGTTAACGTTGAAACAAGGTTTTTTAAAGGTTCCCCACAAAATTTAACGAATTAAGTGCAAAAAAGAGTTTATTTTCAACTTTTCAACACAAATAACAGCTTGAAAAAGATGAAATGAATATTTTAAAACACGTTTAAAAGATGTTTTTTCAAATTTCCATTTAGTAAAATGACCAAAAGGCAATGCTTTACATGCGAACGAAATTTTGCTTTGGCTTTGGCTCAGACGACAAACGAAATTTTGCTTTGGCTTTGGCTCAGACGACAAACGAAATTTTGCTTTGGCTTTGGCTCAGACGACAAACGAAATTTTGCTTTGGCTCAAGCTCAGACGACAAACGAAATTTTGCTTTGGCTCAAGCTCAGACGACAAACGAAATTTTGCTTTGGCTTTGGCTCAGACGACAAACGAAATTTTGCTTTGGCTTTGGCTCAGACGACAAACGAAATTTTGCTTTGGCTCAAGCTCAGATGACAAACAAAATTTTTGACACAATCACTCAAAAGTTTGAGTTTTTTTTTGCCTCAAATCTAAGCAATCACTTTTGCAAAACAATTTTCCTTAGCAAAAGAAAGCTGTTGAAAGCTGTTTTCTCAAGAAAATTCTTCTACTTTGAGGTAAACAACTAAAAATGGCTCGCAAATTACTTTGTCGTATCGGGGAAAGAATCGGGGAAGGAGGGAATTCTCAATGATCAAAGCAGAATAAAAAAAACGTTGTTATTTGGCGTTATTATAAAAACGTTATTAGTTTCAATGTGTTGGATAGCTGAAGTTGACTAATTTCGACAATTAATGTCAACGATTGGACACTTGATACTCGCCCCACCACTTTTCCCATTAGTAATCTAACTTTAAGCTCAAATATCTTGGTGTTGGGCTGTTCAATTTTAATATTCTTTATATCATTAGATACGCCAAGTCTTTCTCTGTCGATTGGTACAAAAACTATTTAAATTGGCCAGCTCAACGCCAAGAAATTTAAGCTTAAAGTTAGATTGCCAATGGCAAAAGGGGCGGGGCGCGTATCAAATGTCCCACAATCATTATTTTCAAGTCTTTCCTATTGTTTATCATTTTCCAAAACTTACAATTGGTTTTTCTTGTAGTCAAAATTTAGCTCAGTATCCAGTTAGATTGAAACATAAGTTTTTTTACTTTTCCGCTTCATCAGTTGATGTTTTGACGTTTAGCATAATGTGCTTTTTATTTTGTTTTTAAATTTATCTGCAACTAAAACTCAATCGATCTAGACTGTGCTGAGGTGTCTGATGAGTGACGATCTTGTTTTTTCCAAGCCTTGCAGCGTCTCCAAAAATTTGTAAACCCATCAAATCACTCTAGCCGGGTGATTTTTATTCTTTTTATAATAAAATCAACGATATTAAAATAAAAAAACAGGTGGTTGCCGTAAAAAATTTTTTATGGTCACCCGGCCGTGATTAATACCCCTCTTTAACCCATTCGAAACCGCAGCGTTTTTTCTTTTTTTTCGTCTACGGACCAAGCCCTTTCTTGACATTTTTGACTCCGAAGCAGTTTATTTATGGTTGGAAAGATGCAAGAGAGTCTCCTACACCATTTATTTTTGATGAAGAACGATTTGGATTTGACTTCAGTACTTTTCAAGATCCTATCGATTAATGTTCTTATTTTATCGACGACAATATTTTAGTAGGCGAATCTAATAAACATGAAAAAAGGAAAACAAACTGGCAGGATTTCGATGCAAGCTCTTCCTGGCTCTGTATCGTGACTACTGGAGTAGCAGGCCTGGATTAGGAGGATTTTCCCACATGTCCCACATTATGTCAAGAGCAAAATTTGAATCTATTCTTCGCAACCTGCGTTTTTGTGATAATGAACTGGATCCTGCAGGAGATCGGCTTTATAAGATTAGAGCTATTATGGAACATTTAAATGCAAAACCAGAGACTGCATTGATTCCGGGTAAATATGAAACATCTTTTTTGCCCACGTAACTTGTAGATCTGCTACAATTGGAATATACATGTAATGCTGAAAAACAGCAAAAAAAAAGCAATTAATTGAATGAAAATAGCTCAATTAGCGCTGCAGCGAATAATCGCTGCAGCGGTCCGTTCCTGAGTTTTTGCTGCAGCGATTATTCGCTGCAGAAGTTTCGAATGGGTTAAGTAAAACTTCGAAAACTTTCAGTTAGCTGAAAAAAAAACTTTCTTGCAAAAAAGCTTAAGCCAACTTCAAAAAGTTTTAGAAATAAAGAACGATTAGACCCAGAATTGGCTAAAAATCGAAAAGTTATCCAAACCAGGTAAG